CCCCTTTTCATAAACTCTTGGCAAGTCAGTGGAGCCCATTTAAAGATCCTTTTAATGAAAAATTTCATTAGGAGGACCAATCACAAATTTGTCAGATAGAGATTTCTAAATCATAGACTCCTTAACAATGTCTTAAACACATAGAGCAGAAATTTTAGTTTAGTTTATTATAACTGATTCTGAGTAAAAAAAAAAATAGATTCCCTTTTAAAACAGGTTGAATAGACTAGAACTGTTAAATGTATCTTGACTTTGAAACTAGAAAAGCAGTATAGTTAGTATGATTAACAGAATAGTTTATCAGCAAGGTTATCATTTGAATATCAAGCATTATATTTTACATTCAACAAACCTGATTTTATCAAATATCCTTTAATTTCATCAACAATATGAAGCATAGTAAAAGAAGCACACAATAGTTTTTTGCAGTACAGTTTCAAAGTGTACACAAATTAGGGTACAGAGGTYAAACATTGCTGTAATGACAGTATTTTGAACTTTAGATAAACTGTATATAAAACCTAAAATTTAAATATTAGCCAATCTGAAAACTTTACTTCCCATAATATAAAAATGATACTTTGAGATGCAAGTTTTAACTAAACTATATAAACATTTAAAATAATCATTAAAAACTCAACATTAAAATTTATAAAGATTAGCTATAAAAATATATTGGCAGTCACTCTTCTTATAAAGGTACCATTTGCTACATATTACAAATAGTCTCTAACATAAAATTGCCTTAAAAACTTTTACTATTTTAGAATCTGATAAACCTTACATTAAATTGATTATAAAATCTTGGAAAAACTTTGGTATGCATCTTTAGGTTTTTAAAAAATAGTATTTTAAGGGYCTGTAAACATTTCATTCTATTAAAGCACAACAGATTAATGGATATTCAACTGCATACAGGATACAGAATCAAAAAACCAATTTATTATACATTTGTTTTAAAAAAAATCTCCCTTACCAGAGTAACCAAAAAACCAAATATTTAAAAGTATCAAACTTTTAAATAGTTCCATTTCCATTCTGATAAAAATGTTACAAAATTACCATATTCCATTCATGTACCTTAGATGCTTTTTAGGACAAGCCCTTAAAAATAGTTAACCCAGTCTCAAAAAACCCTCTCAAGTCCAACAAACAAACTTAAAAACCCATTTAAAAGACTTGACAATAGAACACATTTACATAATCAGAACACATAATTTATATATTTAGAAATTAATCAGGTTTTCTTTTATATTTGTAATTTAGAATTTACTGGTAGAAATGAAATACACAACTGAAAAAGGTAAATTTCAGGAAACGGTAAGAAATGCAAACCTATAGGGTAAATTGACTTATTTTCTAAAATTCAATTTACCAAATCCATTTTATCTGTCATTTTTGGATTGACAACTATTATTATTTAGAAAATTCAAATTGATGAAAGTTCATTTCTTGCTTGAGTATGTTTAATTTTTACAGAGCTTCCAGTTGTGCCAGTAGCTTCCTTGAGGTCATTTTCCACTTTCCTCTGTCACCATATCTCTTGCATAAGACATTTATCTTTGAGTTGCAAAAGCCTACATAAAAACTAGCTTTACTTTTGACCTTTTAATTTATAAAACTCCACTAAAAAAAGAAAAGAAATCTATCTATTTTTTAGGTAAGTCCACAAAAATACTTTCTTACGAATCAAACACTTTTATGAGAGTAAAGATCCTTCAAAGTTTTTAACTCTTCTATTAGAGTTTTATTTTGATTTTCCAAGACTGCAACTCGATTTTCCAGGCATTTCACGTATTCTTTCTTCTTTCTGCGACATTCTCGAGCAGCTTCTCTAAATATAAGCATTAAAAAGCATTAGGAAAAAACTTCATCTTTTAAAGGGTAAATGTACTTCAGTAATTTCCCCTGCCCATCTTTTTACCCACCTCATTTAAGAWATTCAAGTATCATCTACATTCAATGAAATACAGAGATCTTTTTTTTTTAATTTATTTTTATGTGGTGCTGAGGATCGAACCCAGTGCCTCACATATGCTAGGCAAGCGCTCTACCACTGAGCCACAAAACCCCAATCAGAAATACAGAGATCTTAAGTGCAGAATTCAATTAGCACTGGCAAGTACATACATTTGTATGACCCATACCTTATGAAGACAGATTTTTTACTACCCCAGAAAGCTCTCTCAGGTCCCTTCCTAGTCAGTCCTCTCCCAAGCAACTACTGTTCTGATTTTTATTATATAGGTTAGTTTTCCCTTTTCTAGAACCTCATTTAACAGTGACATTCAGTATATGCTCTCTGGTCTGTTTCACTCAGCATATCTTGGAGGTTCATTCATGTTGCGAAGTGGTTTGTTCCTTTATGTTACTGGGCATAGTCCATGGCATGGATATAACAAGTTTGTTTWTTCATTCTCTTAGGCTATGTGTAGAGTTGGCTGCTATGCATGTTTTTATGCTAGTTGTTGTGTATACGTAAGTTTAATTTCTCTTGAATAAATACCGACCAGTGAAATTTATGGGTCCTTTGGTTACCTTTTGATACATAACCTTTTTTTTGGGGGGGTTTTATTTATTTATTTATTTATTTATTTTATTGGTTGTTCAAAACATTACAAAGCTCTTGACACAACATATTTCATTCATTAGATTCAAGTGGGTTATGAACTCTCATTTTTACCCCAAATACAGATTGCAGAATCACATCAGTTACACATCCACATTTTTACATAATGCCATATTAGTAACTGTTGTATTTTGCTACCTTTCCTATCCTCTACTATCCCCCCTCCCCTCCCCTCCCATCTTCTCTCTCTACCCCATCTACTGTAATTCATTTCTCTCCTTGT